ATTGGCACAAGCACCATGGAAATATTGTCAGTCTTTGTTAAAGATAAATATATGCATATCCTGTGTCTAGTGGTTCCACTCTTAGGTATATGATGATAATGAAAAAAGTATTTAATGATACTTGTTTAATCATGATAAGGAAGACTTTATTCAGAACTATGGATATAGGTATAGGGACCACAGCAATGGATTTTGTAGTGGAGGAAAAAGATTGGCCTCAACTCCAAACACAGGATGGGCAATAGAAATTTAAAGCCAAGGAGGAACATGGGAGTTGGTGGATGGAAAATCACTAACAGGAAACATCAGGGAACAGGAAGATTCTGGCTAAATGGACATAACAGGATTCTTGCTGAAGACAAGCCAGAGTGATCAGATATCATCTGGAGGATGGTAAGGGATGAGGAACTGAAACAGATATCAAGAGTGATCAAATATCAAGGGTTGGGGGGGTTCTTGCTAAACTGACTTAGCAGCATTCTTTGATAAAACTGGATTTTACAAGGAAGAGCGCAGATGACCCTAGGAGAAGTTATGAGTTTCACTAAAATTTGGTCAAGCAAAGAATCTTTGTCAATAGATAGTCAAGAGAAATGCATACATATGTTCAACTAAAAACATGCACCCAATGTTCTTAGCAGCATTATTTCTAATAACCATACCTAAAATCAATGAAAATAAGAATTAACAGTATTTTGGATAAGCAAATTGTAGTATACAGTGGAATGGAATATCATACTGCAATTAACAAGAAGGAACTATTGCCATACAAAGCAACATAAATAACAATGAATGAAAGTAACCAGACAAAAGATATAACAGAATGCACAACCCATAAATATAAAACAGCTTTATTCCACTTCAAAAGATACAGTGTAGTAACAGCAGGAGAATGATATGCATTGTAAGAGTTGCTGAGATCTCAGGAGCAAACTTCCTGGTCCTTCTGATGCTTTGGAGCACAGAAATAAGCTTTACCTCCAGTACTCAAACTATTAACGGAGAGCTTGCAAAGCCTCAGAACCAGGAAGCTCACATCTGTTTGTAGTGAGGGCTTCTTATCATGAGCTAGTCATGCTGTGTGACCAGCCTCACCCATTGAAAACCAGCCCCACTCCACTCCTTCATCCCAGATTCCTCTGAAACAAAATGCAAATCTTAAATTCAATCATTATCACTAAACAATGCTGACAGGCAGGTGTATTCTGCCTAAACCAATCACAGACATATGATTACAAAACATCATTTATCTTTAGTTAATAAATACCATAGGGCTGGCCAAACTCACTAGCTCTGGAAACAAGTATACTGTCAGTCCAGACCAGCTGAGATTAACCCAGGCTACACGCAGCCCTTCTAGAGAAATAGGGTGTGCTGATAAAGCATACATGCTGAATATCCTTCAATTTGTAGTGAGTGATTAGCATGATAAAGCATCATATTGCATTACTTTGCATCTTTCCTAACCTCTCTTTATGTAGCGTCCATACATCTACATAATTCATAATTGCTTCCAAATAATTTTCAATGCACATAAATGGAAGATGGAGTTGTAGAAATTTACAAATAGTTGTACGTATTATATATACATATATATACACACACACAAAGCAACTAAACTACAAAATAATGTGACAAATATTGATACTGAAATTAAAGAACTACTTCAACATGACAAGATATGTTTTCTCTCTTTAAGAATTACCACTTGAATTTAAGAGATGTTTGCGTTTTTGGAAAAAAAAATGAAAACCAACCTAAGTATCCTACAAGACTATTGAACTTTCTTTATAAAAGAGTTTAGTGGGTGGAATTGTATCCCCCCAAAAGGTATGACCAAGACCTAACCCCCTGTACATGTGAATATGACCATATTTTAGAATAGGGTGTTTGTAAATGTTATCAAGTTAAGATGAGGTCATACTGGATTAGAGCAGCCCTAAGTCCAATGATTGTCATTATTATAAGAAAGGGGAAATTTGAACACAAAGATGCACAGAGGAAAGATGGCCATGTGAAGATTAAGGCAGAAATTGAAGTTATGCACCTACAGGATATGGCTACAAGTTAAGTAATGACGAGGATTGATGACAACCATAAGAAGCTAGGGAGAGGCATGGATGGACTCTTTCCCTGAGACTTCAGAGGGAGTATGGTCCTGCCAATACATTGATTTCAGACCTCTACCCTCCAAAAATATGAGAGAATAACAATTTATATTGTTTTAAGTCATCTAGTTTGTGGTACTTTTTTACAGAAAGCCTAGGTAACTAATATAATGAAGAATGCAGATTTTGGTTACATTTTGTTTGAAAATCAGTTGAAAATCTTTACCAAATAGAAAAACAAAATTTTTTTAACTTTACTGAAATTATTGAAATCAAAGCTTGCAAACGGGAACACATTGAAGTTTATTTCTCAAGGGAGGAATTTGGAAAAAATAAGAGCTCAAACAATGTCAGAAAATTGTTAATTTCTACAGTTGCAATTTTGTGTATCTTAAGATGTAGAAAGAAGATTTCTAATGCTTCTTGACTAAGTAAGTGAACATATGGTTCAGGCCAGGGGCATTATGGCATCACAATCCCTTAGCCAAAAGAAGAGGTTCCTGATCCAAGCAGAACCAATTAGTGTTCTTCTATTGATGTGTGGACACTCAGAGAAGCTGCAATGTAGCCACTTTCTCTGGGATTAGTAGTCCTTTAATCTTTCCATGAAGAATAGACTTCTTAAAAAGTCTTTCCTGCCTAACTGTAGTTGACTGAGAACTCTAGTGAGAGGCTCACAGCTACTGGAATTGCATTTCTGACCACAGAGAAGGTGGAAGGAGCCTAGAGTCATAAAACCAAGATAACAACAGGTAAACTCCTGAAGCAAGGTTATAATTAAAATTTTCAGAAAGCTGGTGGTGAGATAATGGTTACGTGAGAAATGGTCAGACCAGAAGTTATCTTTGTCTGAGGCTAATCATCATATCTTCAGGAAAAATTTACTGGCAATAACAAACATCAGGATCATTTTTGATATAGAAATATAAAAATGTCTGTGACTACTGGACAGAATTCTGGCTCAAGCTACTATCAGAGAGAGAGTGGTGATCCTCCCCACTTCCAGTTTCCAGACAAGAATCAGTTTATGGGTCCATATCTCTTGAATGTAGGGAAAAATTAAAGTTCTGTGGGAAGGATTCTACTATGGCATCTTATTTCTTTCAGACTATGAGATTTGGGGCGTTTACCTGGAAAAAGGGAACTATCTGATCTTTCTAGAGACTCTTGAATCCATGCTCTGTCTTACCACTAATTACTTGTAATGGTGAATGTCCTGAATATCTGTTGTTCATAATGGGATTTCTCTGAGTCAAGATGCCACCAGAATTTACCTCATTTTAAGCCTAGTGAGAGTCTGAACCATTCATGATAAGTTCCCAGTTCAAAATATAGTTTGAATGAATATACTCAGAAATTGTTCTAATTCCCATATTGCCTGCCTAATGTGTGGGGTAAGAAGTTCAAAAAGACTGACTAGAAATCACCTCTCCTTCTATAATAAAATAATAAATTAAAAGAAGTACTGTATCTTTGGGGAAAGTCCAGTACATGTTAATGACTAAAAGATGCAAGGATGGTGAATCATTATCATATTATTTTAGTTCCTTGTTTGGCCTTTACAGTTGTCTCATGGAGAATAACAATGGATTACTACAATTTTAACAAGGTGGTGATACCTATTGCAGGTAGCATTTGTAATGTGGTAAGTGTCAGGTAAATTCATGGTAACTGATTTACAGATAGCAACCTGGTAAATGCATTTTTCTCCATTCTGATTTAAAAACTAAAGGGAGAAAATAAAATAATACGAGAAACAATTTGTTTTTATCTTACAGAATGGAGACTTCCACCTCATGGAACAGTTTCAAGAACAAGTCTGCACCAGTCTTGCACTACAATTTATTTTGCAGGAAACATGACCATCTTATTATCCTATGGTTCCTCACATATTCATAAAATTGATGACCTCATTCCTATAGGGTTCATGAGGCAAGATTATCAAGTACCCTAGATGCTTTGGGAAGTGACATGATGATGAAAGCTTGAAGATATATTTTATGAAGACACAGGTAGTCTAACTCCTCCATTAATTTCCCGCAGGGGCAGTAGTCTGAGTATATTAACAAACCACTATATTGAAAAACAAATTGTTTCCTGTTATGCTTCCAACACCAAGAGAAGGCAGCACCAATGTTGAATGGCTTTTCTTTAATTTTTAAGGCAAAAAAATTATGTTCGGGCACCTTTATATATATATATTATATATATATATATATTTATTCTGTAGGATACCAAGCAACTGAAGGCTATCCAGGTGGCCTACACTGTGGTGCGAGAGGCTTTGTCACTTGTAGGTTATAATCTGGTGGATCCAATGGTTCATTAAAGGGTCATGACAGGTTGGTTGCTGTGGGGAGCTTAAAGTAAATATTGACAGGTAAATCTTACTTAAAGTTTGAATCTATCAAAATAAGTAACGACTGTCATTTTCAGAAACAGCTCCTGGTTGAGCTCTGAAGGACACTGAACAGCTCACAGCTCACCATGGATACCAGATTACTGTGTATACTGAGCTGATCTTTTAATGGTTATTATTTAATTTCTCAAGCTATAAACTCAGGTATAATCAAGTGGATTGTATTCAAACTAGCCCAGATTGCATAAGTAAGTTGCATAGACAAGTTGTTCAAATTCCTAGTGTACGTAGAACTGCCACACTGCTGTTCCTCTCTGCAGCTACAACTATGTCCTCATGGGAAATATTCTGTAAACACTGATTTTAAATAAAAGATCTTGGACCCACTTTACAAATGCTTTTTATGTTCTGCCAGCACCATCCAGAAATGAACATTTAAAAATTTTTTCATTAAAATGTGATTGAAAATGTCATAAAACATTTAGTGAAAATAAAATGTTACTGCTAAATAGAATAATGACAGAAAACACATATTGTGCCTTAAGATGTAATTTATTAAAAAGAAGAAAAAATCTCAGTCACTGCACACAATTATTTGAAATGATGGTACTACTCAAAGACTTTTTAAACAAAATTTCCATTGTAGACACTTAGTAAAGATCTTCCAAATGGGTGCCCTTCATACTGGCATGATACAACTGGAGTTTTTTAAATTTTTTATTTTAGGTGGCTGGCTGGAATAAGGATCCAAACACAACTGGAATCTAGAGAATAAACTGTCTAGGAAAATTTAGCTTAAGAAAAAGGATAATATGCAATCTAATACACAGTAGACAGCTCAAGAAGAAAGATCACCTTCAATATGGGATTTTCCTAATCGAAAGCAACAGTCAAGGCCTTTGGATAGAATGGTTTTACATGATGAGCAGTAGGAGAGGAGAAATTCAGAGAATGGGATTTTCAGTCATATCTGTAAATAGAAATAAAAGTATGTGGTTAGTTATATTAAAGATTTTTGAGAAGAGAAATGTTTATGATATGATACATTTTACTAGACAGTTCTCTTCACATTAGCTCAGCTAACAATGTTATTTGTGTTTTCTTGTTACTGACAAACATCGCCATTTCTCCTGATTTTTAAGATTTAAAGACAATATATTACTAATAGTATTTTCTTTTGTGGCATCATAGAAGATATGGAAAGGCAATTAGAAGAAATGGTTTCCACATAGCTCAGAATTGTATCATTTTCCTTATTTTGATCAGTTGGAAGGGAAGTTTCCGCCATTGGAAAGGGAAAACACATGTACATGCAGACATGCACACACACACACATAACTAGAAGCTCCAATACAGTGAATAAAGGTAAGTAAAACATCTGTAGACATTTTCAAGGAGTATTGGCAGAGAACCACTTGATTTCACTATGTAACTTGTTAAGGATTTCTATTGCAGTGATCACAAAGAAAGAACAGGATCCCACTACTGAGTTCACCAGAGTCTCAAAGTCACATCTTCATGAAAAACTAGTAACATCTCCACCATATTTGTACAAGAATTTCTAATGTTATAAATTATATTAGTTAAAAATTAGGTGTTTTTTAAGTTGCAATTTGAATATATTGTGATTATAAAAATTTTGCAAATTGAAATAGGATTAATAGTTAGACATGTGATTTCCAAACTTACCAAGGGCTGTAACTGTGGAGTTCCTGAGAATTGACTTATTTCTTCTAAAAGAACAAAAATTGTTCAAATCATATGATTAAGGAAGTCAGCTATAAAATTTTACTAAATCAAAAAAAATGACTGCAACTTATTTAGTATATATTTTCCCAACACTGTACTGAAAAAAGGTTACTACATTTTATTACCTTCAGATTTATAGGAAATAAGCTTCATTATATTATTTCAAATAAGCAAAAACGTTAAGATTTGAATTTAATACTACTGGATGCCAGAATCTGTACTATACTCCCTACATGGAATGTTCATATTTGTAATAGGTATGACCTAAAATAAAGCATTTAAAGATAAGAAAAAGCTTTAGAAGGGTAGTTGAATTACACATCAGGAGTCTTTAATTTTAGTTTGAAGTTCATTTCCTACCCTCATTAGAATGAATTTCACTATATAGAATAGATAACACTGCTCCACATTACTGAGAAATGAATTAAATTAGCCACAGATGCCAGAATGTATTACTAATTTTCCATTTCAGAAAATTCCAGTATTATGCAGTAAGCATTGATTTGCCATGTTTATTCTAAATCTGTTTTCACGGTATGTTTTCTGCGCTACTTTTTTATTTCCTTTGATAGAACACTGATATGCAGTAATTTAAATGAACTTACCACCACTCTGGCATAACGTCAGTTTTTTCCATGCTCTCGGAGGCAATGGGCATAGGGATGTTGTAGATTGGTGGGAAAACAGCATACTGCATGATTTGTGGAGGATAGTACCAAGTAGCATAGGGATAGGCATCAAGCTGGTAGAATTGCTGGAAAGGCTAGAGGGAAAGACAATTGAAAAGCGACAGTGTGTGAGCAATTGCTGTTTTGTATCTCTGAAAAATCGGATCATCTCATTCATTTCTGAGATGGCTATTATCACAAAAGATGGTTGCTCTGTGAGGGAAAAGAAGAAATCAAATTCTTTTCTATGGTGAATCATCGTGAAGATGCTTTCAGAAGGAGCTCTTTTAAGGTACCTGAGAAGCACTGAATAAATCACTTGTTTAAGGTCACTATTCAGTATTGAACTCCAAGAACCTGCATTATTTGCACAGGTCCAATTGCCAGAGGTCAAAAGAAAGTAGTAGCACACATGCCATTATTACCTAATTCATAAATTCATGGGCATTTGGAGTAGAAATAATTGTTTTGCCATTTAGATCTATATTTTAATTTTCTTTGCAGACACTGAGGCCAAAGGGCCCCACACCCAGGGTCAGTACAGCTGACTTTCAGAAGTGCCAGAAATAGAAGGGAAGTAATTGTCCAATTCCTATCCCAGTGCTCTTTACAAATGCTAGAGTTTTGAGGCCAAAACATCATTATTTTTCTTTCTGAAATTTTGGAATAGTCCCTCTGTTGTTCTATCGTGACATTTCATTTAATGGTTTCTATGTATTGACATAGAAACAATTACTCATGGGCCGAGCCCGTGGCGCACTCGGGAGGGTGCGGTGCTGGGAGCGTGACAGCGCTCCTGCCGCCGGTTCGGATCCTATATAGGGATGACCAGTGTGCTCACAGCACTCACTGGCTGAGCGCGGTGCGGCCGGTCTCAAAAAGGACCAAAAAAAAAAAAAAAAGAAAAAGAAACAATTACACATAATTCTCTATATATTTAGGTAGGAGATATGTATTCTTTGGTGGACTTAGGAAAAAAAATTGAAAGTATTTTAAATTTTGCTGTTGACACCTGACCATGTGAAGATTAAAACAAATACAATATCTGAGATTTTTTTCTTTACTTATTAAAGTATTTAGGTTTAAAAAATTAAGTATAAAAAAGTTAACTCACCTCAAGGTATAACTGGGCCTGTTCCTTAATAGAGAGATAGAAAAAAAACTAGTTTTGTGATTTATGTCCAATTGAACACCATGCTAGACTGAATTATTGCTACCAAAAACATTCATTAGCAAGAAAAAATACATATATAGTTGTCATACTCTTTTTTCAAAGAATTAAGTGAAAAGTTGAGACTAATGCACTCTTTGGAGCTCAAATGAAGTGAATAAATGCCTTTATTCTCCATTTACTTTGGCCAGTGAAAGTGATTAGAAAATTTCAGAAGGAATTGGGGGTAAAATTTGGTGAACAGTGAGAAACCATATAAAATTGATTGAAAACTGCAATATTTGAATTTTGGGGAACTGGGTTTTTTTGGTGTGTGTGTGTTTTCTTTTTCTTTTTCTTTTTTCCCTTAATTGCATTCACATAGCAAAAACTATGGATTTGTTTACATCCGTTTTTTTTTTAATTACCATGTCATATATAAGTTGAAACATCAGTGGCCCAGGGTCACTGAATTGAATGCAGGTAGTTCCTTTAAAAGTGAAGACAGACAAAAGCACTGCAAACATCAGGATATGGGAGTTTTGGAATAGGAAAGAAATTGATAGACATACGTCAAGTTTTCCACAAATGAGTAATGAAGGTCAGAAAGAAAACACAAGGTGTCATGTGATTTGAAGGTGTCAGACCTGAGATTTAAAACACAAGTTGCTTCCACTACACAGTACTATAGAACAAAAAAAAAAAGTCATATTTGGACAATATGAATGACCAGTTGGAATTTTTCTGGCTTAGAAGTTGGCCTGAAACCATCTTCATTAGGGATAGCCATAGACTTATTCTTTCATTTTTCTTTAGAAACTTGGCTAGATCTTCTACAGGATGTTACAACTAGCACTGGAGAGTCCAACACTAGTCAATAGCTAAGAAATACTATCACAGCACGAGTTAATGATGCAGCAAGTACAATAGTTTCTCACAAAAACAGTGATTGCTCATAGGTCATATTTGGGGCAGTCTTAAAACACCCATACAGTCACGCACATGCACACACACACACACACACACACACACACACACACACACACACACACACACACAGATGTACCTGATTCATCACTCTCATAGGCGCTCTCTGGAAAGAAAAGGAAAATTGGAGTTACCTTTTAACATGGAATAAAGCTTCGAAAACAGAAGGAACCATCTAATTGAAATATTTTTCATATTAGAGATTTGGGAACTGATACTAATTTTGCCAATTGCATTTTGATTACTTAAAGACAATCTTTCTTCGTAGATGGAACATTTTCAATAATCTTTATAAGATTCACTAAATTGTAAGTACTGGTTAGAGGACTCCATGATTGGTATAGAATTGGCTCACCTATTGACAGGAATCAGAACTGTTATTGCAAAACATATTCATAGTAACTGGTTTTTGCTTTAAAAATGAAGTCAGAAGCCTCAGGAATACTCAAAATAATAGCATGTAGGGTAGAGGGAGAATCAGTACCTGTTTTAACTGTGTGTTGCTGATAAACTCATTTCCAAATGAGAAAAAAGAGGGTCAGAGAATACTTCGATAGAGCTACCCAGTCTCTCCAGATAATTTCTCCCAAAGAGCAGTATCCACTAGTAAATATTCAGTATGCCTTGCTTAAGAGAGCATAATTACAGTTGCATTCATAAATATAAATTGAATTTGAGAATCAGGCAAACACATAAACATAAGGATATAAAATTAAAGCATATGTTGAAAAGGAAATTAATGTAACCATGGAGATTAACAGTTCCTAGTGCTTGTGATTATAAATGTGATGCCCACATCAGCTGAGACAGAATAAAACAGCTCCCACTCCAAAGAACATTAACAAGGAGTTCTCATCTCTTAGATTAATTAAATAAATTATTTCAGAAATTTGGTAGTGAGAAATAACTGCTTGAGAAGAAAGAAATCTTTTCAAGAGTGGGAAGCTATTTAAAAGCAAACATGTTTAACCTTAACAATATATTGTTATTTTGTAATATATTAAGTAAAATAATACCATTTGGACATAGTTGTCTTCATTCATTCTTGGAAGTTGCTCCTGTATAAAAGGAAATATATTCTAAATTACTTACACATCTTCTGGTACTCGTTTTACCATATGCCATGAAATTTAGAATAAACTGTATTCTATGCCAGAATTACCAAAAAATATCAAAACACTTATTTTCTAACTTTAAACAAAATGTTCACTATAGCTGGGAATAATAAAGAATTTTTAAGGTTCACACTCTGAGAAAAAAATAATGACCTACCTATTCTCTAGGACTACACAGTTTCTGTTCATAGCTATTTATTAACCATTATTTAAATTTTATCTGTCATAAATTTTAAATAAAATATTACCAGATTTGGTTGGTAGAATACTTTCTGTCTTGGGATGTACTTCTGTTAAAAAAAATGCATTATAAAAACAGAACACATGAAGGAAATATTAAAATAGTTTAGATTTAAAAAATAATATTACCTGGGCATGGAGAGCTTGCTAAGGAAGAGAAAACACTGTTTTAGTATTCTGATTTCATTCACTTATGAATAACAAACACTTACTAGGTAACTTCATTCGTTCAGGGACTATGTTAAGTACTAGGGACAACTTTAAAATACTATGAAAGCTCTGAGCAAGACCAGTGAGGTTCCAACACTTGCTTGTAGAGGCTACAGACGAGCCATATCATATCTAAGGCACTAAAACATGTTATTCGGGTAATTTCTGAGATCAGTAATAATGAATTCTAGTGTGATACTGATATAAGTACATTTATTTGGACTTTATTTTAAAAATAAGCAACTTGAAAACTGACTAGGAGTAAAAGTTGTGGTCCACATTAAATTCCTTACTGACTTTCCTCTTCCTACATCGATAGCAGAAAAAAGTGAGAGAAATTGTAATTTTGTAAAATCAGGATAAGGCCTTTTCCTAAAGTCCTAATTAAGTCAAATTTATTTGTGGTAACTAAAAGAAAGTTGTTTCTTTGTCCTCCCAAGTGGATGACTTTTATGATACTCAGAAGTTTCAAAACTGGTGATAAGTGGGTTGTGCGAGTTTTGACAGAAGCAAATCTAACATTTAGTGTTCCTGATCCTTTTTCTAGACTCTACACTGTTTTCCTTTAATGGGAAGATTTTTTTGACATATCTATGCTTTCACTGGTAAGAATACTTATGAAATTCTCAACCAGGATTGAATTTGGGAAAATAAACACATAATAAATCTTCAATATAATGTATAATCAGGGAGACTATGAGAGGATTTGGAGTAGAATGTAGTCAAAGTAAATTTCTCCCTGGTTAGTAATTATGAATATGATATACAGCTTTAATCCAGAAATAAATAGAAAGAACGAGATTTACCAGTAGATACACAGGCAATTACAAACATACTTTGTCAATTACTATTAATGATCAAGGCTAGAATAAATAATTTCTTGAGAAAAATAAAAACATATTTAGAAGTGCCTAATTTTAAATTTGATGTATTTTAATACTACAGTGGAATATAATTTTGTATTACAGTAAATAAAATATTACCATCTGGAGTTGGTTGTATTTGCTCAGTCTACGAAGCTGTTCCTATTCAAAAGGAAAAAATATTCTCAATGGCTTGGGTATCATTCAGTTTAAACCTTTCATTTTCAGATAATGAAGCAAGACTATCACAATGCCCTTTTCTAGGGATAGAGAATAAGGAATCCTACCTTAGTGCTATTTTTCACACAAATAATTTGGACCTGTTTAATTATTCCTCTTTTAATATTTAAAAAGCTACTTTTTATTTTGAACTTAAAATAAATTAAAATTACAGTTTGATGTAAACGTGTATCAGGCAATTTTACTTGCAGTATATTAGAATTAGTAAGAAAATTGAAAATAATTTTTGCTAACTGTGAAAATTTAATTTTTTTGGCTAAACTTAATTAGAATCTTAAATAAACTGGACAAAAAATCATGTTTCTAATACTAGCCAATGCTTACTGAGAGTTTATTATGTGCCATGGATGATATTCATTGCCTTACATCACTTAATATTTGTATTTTAACTGCCATTTTAGAACTTTGGTTATAGACCTATAGTGGATAAATGAACTGCCTAACATTACATGTTGGCAGAAGGTAGAAAGAACTTCAAGTGAAACTCAGGTATAGCCAAATCTATAGACTGCCATTTAAATATCATGCTATTCAGAAAAACACAAATATTGAAAGCACAAATTAGATACCAGAGATAAAATGTTGTTAGTTTTATTTTCACAGGGGAATAAGTAAAGATCTAGAGTCCATTAGACTCCTTACTATGGATTAAAGTCCAGCAGATGTTGAGGAGGAGACATAATTCATCAATACAGCATTCTCACTCACTCTTCGGTGTGTTTGCCTTTGATAAACACTTAGTGAAATTTTACCACAGGGCATTGTTAGAGCACGTCTTCCCTTGGAATGTGCTTCTGTTACATATATGTGTGTGTGTGTTGTTGCTTATATGAAGATTGTTTAAGTAAATTTTAACTTAGCCTGGACATTATTAATGTATTTTAAATTTAGCAAATATTTCTCACCTCAGTGCTACTGACAGCGAATTCCTTTGGAAAAAAATACATGCAGAGTTTTAATTTTATGACATTTATTTAAATTTAAGGTAAGAATATTAATCAACCAGTCACTATTAATAAATAACTGCGGTAACCTGATTTAAGCCACAGATTCCTGGATAACTGAGAAAAGAGCAATAATGTGAAGCACATGTTATGTTCATGTTGCCTTCACTCTTCTCACTGTTTTCACCAAGATGTTACTCAGAATGTTGGAGGTGAATGTGAAGGAATCAGTTCTATCGAATGTACAGAAACGTCACCTCATTGATTTGGTTTTATTTTGGTAACTTGAATGAAGGTCTTCTCCCAAAGTCACAGGAGATACCCCATCACCTTCTACACCTGCTATCTTTTTACTTTAGATTAACGAGGGGTAACGAGTGAACAGCAGTGAGAGGATTTCATTGTCTGATTAACCTATAGTCACTTGATGTCTACACAAGACATAACATGTTCACTTCATTGATTTAGAGGTATAGTCATTGTTGTAATTTTTAATAATAAGATTGATTTCTATCAAAATCTGTGGACAAAATGACTAGAAAAAGAAAAAATAAATTTTGGGTACCACAGATGGTCAAATAAGACTGTTTGTCCAGAAATAATTCTGTAAGTATGTCTCTGACAAATAGGTGCCTTCTTACTTCTTTTGGGTCGATGATCACATACTAAAATTAAGATAGTGTCACGTGCATAGTGCTTGGTGCAATGAGACTTTTAGGATATGTAGCCATTATAGTGAAACAATAAATGTTCTCTAATTAATTGAAACAATAAATGTTCTTTAATTAATTGAGACAAAATTAACATCAACATAACTTACCTCACTTGATGAACTGCTGGTAGATTCTCTCTGCAAAGAGAGAGAAAACTGGTGTTATTGACCCCAGCAATTTTTAGAATTTGGGGGAAATTAGTTCCATACCATCCTGTTGAGTTGCTTACCCTTAGGAACATCAGAATAGAGGTAAGTGGTGTGAAAAGATTCAGGACCACTATCATGTATGTTCTAGGACTGTCAATTCTACTTGAAAAATGCTGGGAGGAAAGTTTAATAACTTACCCAGGAACTTAAAAACTTAAAAATAATATTTTATATATTAAAACAAACACAGGTATATTGAGAAGAATGCAAAATTTATTCACATTTTCATAATAAAAATTAACCTAGAAGGAAGAGTCATATTAAGCGGGGTTGCCCAGAAGCCTGGGTTAAGTGTTTTTTCGTATCTGCCCTTGGAACTAATTTGATGTGAATAAACTGGAAAGATTAAATACAACAAACATCTTAAGATAAAACTAAAATTACATTAGCTTTTAAAACATCTGCCCTTCGAAATACTTATTTTTTCTTATAAATCATGTATGTTTATATTCATGTATAGATATAATTGTTTTTTCCAAGTACATATTTTAAAAGACTGATTTTAATATTTAACAGACTATTCATCTCTGGGGATCATTGATTATCCATACATAAAGGACTAGCATTTGATTTTTAGGTTTTTATAGTAGGTAGTATAGCTCATTGATCCTAAGTAATTGTTGCAATAGATTCTTTCTGCTCAAGGACTACCCTCAACAGTAGGAAAGAGTAATTTCATGCTCTTGGTTGTGGAGAGGCAGGGTTCTGTTAAATAAAGTGTCATGTTTCATTTTAAGCATTCACACATACTTTGCTTTTTATACTTTACTTAAATACTAAAACGGCAAAGTTTTCATTGATCGTCATTTAAATGGTTTAAATTCTCTACTCCCATTTTAACTTTATCTGGCATAATGTTATGCATTTGGGGGTACAATACCCTATTTGAGAAGTTCAATGAGTAAAATATTTTAAAATTCAGTTTCTTATCTTGCTTAATTTGAATAGATAGCCTTAAAATTAAGCATATTGAATATACTATGTATGACACAGCATACAGTTGATTAGAATAAATGTCTTACCTCAGCGTCTTCCATAACCTGTTTCTTAGAAAAAGAAAAGACGATTCATTTTATTTTTCATTATACATAGTCAAATACAAAATTAATAATTATCAAATAAAATAGATGCCAAATAAAATGGAAAATTGCGGCAATATCCATTTAATAAGGAAACCAAAAAAGCCTGCCTACTTTAGCCTGAGCTAACTGAGAGGATTTACTTTCCTAATCTTCACTAAGCAGTTTAATAAAAACTATTTGGATTCCTCTATATTGTGGCAAATCAGTGTAAACAAGTTTACATTTTCTTTTAACTAGCATAGCTCTTTTTTTTTTTTTTTTTAACTTGGCTCTGGACATTAAGTAGAAGCATTGGATTAAAGATCATGTGGTAAATAAAAGTATATACCAAAGGACAACATTGGTTCAGTGGTGTACAAATACTTAAACAAAATTAATTTTCTTTCTCTAGTATGTTGTGCTCAGTTTTCATGACTGTAGCACTACAGAGAGGAGTGACATTATCCATACAATTTAAGTTCAAAATATTAGTGTTTGTTTAGCTATACAACTAATTCTGGCCAACATATGATACAGAATATCTTTGCATTCTTTGAATGAGAGATTTCTGTCTTAGTTTTGATTTAAGAGAATTATTTGTTCATTCTGGATAGGGTATTTAAAGGAAACCTCTTTTATTTTTATCTTTTCCTCATATTGTATTTAACAGTTTTAAAACAAAGCTCTTACCTCAGTTAATTCATTCCTAGTTTCCTACCAAGAAAAGAAAATCAATCAGGTATAAAGGATAGTTAAAAAGATATATTTTTTAGCTCATAAATTTTGAGCATCTTTGCGGTGTCTCAATAGCAAATGTATTAAAAAACTAGTACGCAATCCATATAAAAAAAAGTATGTTTAAAGAAAGAACAATCAAATGCTACTACGTGAAACATTCTTTAGTCAGATAATTACTTTATAAAATAGTCTTGATAAAGCATTCCTTCAGCTTTGGTGATAAGTGTAAACAATTGGCTAGTCCATAATTTCATTCATTCATTCATTCATTCATTCATTTTAAAGCTTTGTCTCACCACAGGTACACAGTTAAATCAATAAAATCAGTAGTCTTTAGAATTCTCAGCAGAAGTTTTTAGTCATCTTGAATGTATAACTGAAAAGTTCAAGGAAATGATAAATGGCATAAAAAATGTTTTTCCTAAATGAAAACATTTTTTTTGTACTACATGAATATATATTCTTACCACACTATTTTAAGAAAATCTTTGGTACCTTGATTTCATCACTCTCTTTTTCTCTCAGATGTTCTCTCTGCTAAAATCAGTGAAGTGTAGATTGTAAAATATATTATTAAAAGGGTGAATTTTAAAAGTGTAAAAGTATAAAGGGGCACAAATGAGTGAACATCTATGAAAAAGCATACCCCACATTGTGAAGCTGCACATTGAAAATAAATCTATTTTTGTGAATGCATTCATATTTCTTGTGATAGCATTTCTAACCATAAGTGCTTCTTTGCTATCCTTTCTTTGCATAAGCTGTCAACATGTAAATGTGCACTTAGAAATGTTTTAAAATTTGTGCCACTCATTTTTGTAGTTTTTTGTCTTTCATCCTGTTTTAGGCATGGTTCTGAGGTCTTTGGATTGTATCACTTCCTTCTGTTTGTTAATTATACTGTGTATCCTGTGGAGTCATTCTTACCTGTCTTAATTCTACTGGTGTAGGCTATTAAAAAAACAAAATAATAAAGTTACATTAAAATTCATTCAAAGCTGAATTTCCCATCAAATCTTTCAAATAATGGCCTTGTTAGAATTTGATATTTTTCTATTCGACAATAAAATCACAAAATCATACAGAAATACTACACATGTGGGATATTATTTACAGTTAAGGAGCACTCCACTGTAATGAGTATAGAAATTGTGAAGTTTTGCATAGGTCATGAAAGGAAAGCACAAGTGTTTTGGAAAGAGGCACACGTTTGGGTACAAATTAAAATTTAAAGCAGCTCTTTAATTTGTATTTCTGGTTTCAGTATAGTTTGTGGCTGCCACAGTGATTGAATGAAAGGAATGGTTGATTATATCAAGTGGAAAAACATTTTTATAATCAAAATTAATTTTTTCAGAAAAGTATGCTTGTCTTTTAAATAGATAACACTTACCATAGCAAACCTGGAAAACTTTCTTTCTTTGAAAATTTCCTATAGAAATTAAATTGTTAATTATAAAAAAATGATAAACACACCAAAAAACTAAACATATTTTTCCATTTGAACACAAAGTGCTCCATTTGATTTAATAAACTAGTAGGTTTCTTAGGAAGAAGAAAAAATACATAGTTTTAGTTTTATGATATAATCTTTAAATCTTGAAATCTAAAGAACACAATCTAATTGGTTCCGTCTTCACCAGTCCTAGAGATTTAGTATGTCCATTCTTACCAAAATGTCTAAAGAAGAAATTGGATTGGGATTTCATCAGTTCAAGAATTGAGAAAGTAATCAAGTACCTGAGTACTTGAATACATCTGAAGGGAAATAAAAATTGGTATGGAGGAGACAGTCAACATTCATGATAGCAAACTGAAAGACAGAGAGGAGATGAGTGACTTCCCATAAAGACAGCTTACCTCGCTGCTGCTCTCTGGTTGATTCTGCAAAGAATAACAAAAGAAGATGGCATTAATTCAGGTACTGGACAGAGTGGGAGATTAGTGGTTCCTGCAGAAGAGTATAGTAGAGGCAACTAGTTCAAGATTCAATGTGTAAAACGAGACCAAATTGTAAATCACATGCTTGAGTGCATGCAAAAGGGATAGAAAGATGCAAAAACACATTAAAGTCAACCATGTTGGCATATTCTGTTTAATTAACTAATTCCCTTGAATAATAAGAGATTTTTATTAACATAAATGTTTACATAAGTCCATGTGCCCTCCTCCTTAAGAGGTTTTGTGAGAGCAGATAATATCTGTCAATACTTGAACTGAAGAAATTTTACCTCAGTGAATGTCAAACAGGCTATAAGGGAAGAAAACATTTGGAGTCTATGTGTTTTCTGTACATCATCACTTAAGTTCCACAATTAAAGTGAGTTCTTGGTATGTAGAATAGAAACTTACTTGAAGGAGTTCTGGGTTTCTAAGAGGAAATTTCTGTGAAAAACAATGCAAAAATTGTAAAAACAGACAAAAAAAGCAATCAAATTGACAATAATGACAATACAACAATACATATATAATAGTATGAATTTTAAAATTGTTATTTAAGAAAAATGTGTATTTTAATAGCAAGATTTTTCAAAGACTGATTACCTGGGAGAAAAAAAAGAATTATTTTATTGACATATTGATGTACAAAGCAAAATAGGTTATTTCCTTTGTTTAGAGTATGGCAGAGAATTGAGAAAACTATATAAAAAGTTTTTTTTTTTTCCTTTTTGTCTTTTTTCATGTCCGGCAACGGATCGCAACCCTCGGTGTTGCTCCCACACCTCACTCAGCCAGTGAGCGGGAACCGGTCTGTATGTGGGATCTGAACCCTCGGCGGGAGCGCCACCGCGCTCCCAAGCGGCGCACTGTAGCAGTGCGCCACCGGGCCGGCCCCTAAAAAGTTTTTAAAATGTAAAAAAAAACTCTTTAAGAGGTAAAAGTCCTGAGTTAGTTTGAATTAATATAGAATAATAAAGAATTTATTCAGTTTTCTGAACTATTTATATTACACAATAGTCTTAAAGATCATCTTAAACCATTATAAAATTTGGGAGCAAAATATTTACTTTTCTAACTAAATGTTGTTTGAATTTTATTTTTATTATCAATTAAAGTATATAAAAAATTATCTCAACTGGCATTTTAATAGTAGAAACAAGACTTAAGGTTTGTAAAATGGTGGCATAAAAAAGTAAAATAAACCAAGAAAAAAACAGAAAACCTATTGTTTTCTTTGGAATAAGGGTGTTGAAGCTGTTTTCTGGACTGCTCTTATTCATTCCTTGTAAAATAACAAGATAAGTGCTTAAATGAGACATTACTGAGGACTTCTATCCTTCTTTTGCTAACTTAAAATCAGAGATTTTTCTATTGGTGCTTAGGTTGCAGCATAAACAAAACGCTATTGGTTCAGAAGTTGAATATTAGTGCGTCTGCATTATCCAACCAAGGGTTTAGAGAATAAGAATCTCATTAACACAACAATACAATATCAGCATTTCAGAAACCTTTCCTTCTGTATGAGATAGTTTTAGCATCCAAATATCCCGGATCATTCCTTTATCTGATTTTTTTTCTAGTCAGGTGGTCAGTGTTTACTCCTGTCGTATTTATTAGGGAACAGAGAAAATTTTAGCTTCATGTAACTATCTAATTGGGCATAAACATATTTTTGAGAAGAAAAGTTATTTTACTTTACATTATCCGGTTTCACTTTCTACAGTGACCACAATAACTTGATCTTTGAATCAGCAGAATAAGCCCAGTTTTCTATCCCTTGGGGGAGGAAAATGTTGCCACAATCATCTCAAATGAGGGTGTGACAGGTTCCAACAGAAGGATACACTGGAACATGTAGCTTTCTGTTATATTTAGGAAAGAAGTTTTGGACAACTATTACACATCTACAAATATGCTGAGTCTGCAGTGGATTCAGGGAATGAGCTTAATCACATTGTCCAAGGCTATTTATTATGCTGTGTGATACTTTATTTTTTCTTTTTGTTATATTTTAATTTTAATTTTTTTTAAATTGTGGGTTGCTTCTATTTCAAGTCAGATATTTTATTTGGAGTTAAAGCTTTGAATGGACTACAAAATGATGATTACCACATTTCTAATGTCCTGACTTCAGTAGCTAATTAAGATTATCCAGTGCTTTAAAATTATTATTCTCAGTATCCCATGTTTGTTGAGGTATCATTTCTAACAAAAATCTAAAACCTTCTAAATTCTCTACTGTACTTACAGGCCTGGCAAGAGCAACAGCCATGAGGCAGGTGAGGATGAGAAACTTCATAGCTGTCTAGGTCTATATAAGGAAACAACAACAACAAAAACAAGTTAGGTCTTGGAATAAAATTTGTTCTATGAAAAAATCCTTGATTTTTTAACAAAGGAGTAAATTTGATAAAAATATGTTCACTTGAGAAGCAACATTTTTATAAACTTAAGATTTTTTTATTTCACTACTCAATATAAATGTTTATCATTCTAGTTATCTTTCTTAGTTCCTATATTGTTTAGAAATACCAATTTCTTACCAACATTTTTATTCGCCAACTCTCTAAAACAAGATATTTGGTCCCTAATGTGTTGATATGACTTTGTCAGAGAAATACAGAAACACGAATAAACACTATAATTTTTTTTCCTCTAGAGCATCATATTTGCTAACGTGGGTCATAAACTAAAATCCACTGAGAAGTGGTATTTAATTTTACTGAAAATTTTTGAGAATGTGCTTTGTTTTTTTTAATTTAATTTTATTTTGTCAATATACAATGTGGTTGATTATTGTGGCTGGCCCGTGGCTCCCTCGGGAGAGTACAGTGCTTAAAATGTGTTTCTTGAGAGCATTTTGATCTTTCAGAATCTTCATGAAAAATGCTGTCAATGCATTATATAGAATGTGCTTCTAACCTCCCTCAATTATTTTTTTAATAGAATCTAGCTATCACTTCATGTTTTGCTACTTGGGGATATCCACAACATAATTATATAAAGATGATTGAATTGGATAGAATTATAAAATTCATATGTCTTATCATGTTTGATTTCTAGAGTTCCATCAAATTGTAAGAACCCAGAAATACTGACATTTATATGGACTGGGAAAATGGTTTCCAGAGAAATCAGAAAAAAAAAAAAACAGTTTACACATGCAATTTGTTCACACCTTAGTGAACAAGCTAATATTGACATATTTTATATAAAGTGCTTTAGTTTAAAAGTTGTAGAATCTAAATGCATTAGTAAAGAAGGCATATTTTTAAACACATGATTAATTTACTATCTATCCATTTGTATCCTTCCAAATATCTAAATTTAACCATCTTTACAAAAGTAGTCATCTATATCTAATTGTCTGTCATTGACATACACATTATAGAATTGATTTTATTAACCAAATGATATGGAACAAAATGGCCTTGAAATGTTCTGCCAAAAGTGGCCTTTGTTATGGTAATTGCAAAGATCAGAAATTATAGCTATTCTTTTTTTTTCTGCAAGAAAAAGATAATTCATTAAACACTTTCTATAGAATTGGGCAAAAATAATTCAAATTACCCTACCCCAAGTCTCTACTGAAATTATGTATCTATTTTTTCAACGTATGAAATTTTAGTTACAAAACTAACAAAAATGATTTGGTCTTTATAAAACTATAATGATTCCTCATTTAAAGCTCTGAGAAGATACCAAAATTTGAAAGTTCATTTTTAAACTACTAGTATACTATTAAGAAGGTATCAATATTTGCAAACATATAGAAATGTTCCAAATACATCTAAGCAAAGAGTGGAAGAAAGAGAGTAGATGATAGGAAATCATAGTAATTGTGCCATATATAAACACAATACCTTGCACCCAAGGGTGGGAAGAAGCAAGCTGTGTTGATCAAGGTGATGGCTGATCTCTTTGCTTCATGGCTATTTAAACCTAGTGATTAGTAAAATGCTAATTTTGTGGTTTCAGTTCAAACAATACTCTTATCTAAATTCTAAGAATTCTCCTAAATAGGAAATTAATTTTCTGCTCAATTCCTTTCCCAGGAAATTCTGAAGAGTTTTCAACAGGAGAATGATTCATGCTATAAGAGATTATACCGGAAATAGAGTGGCATACTCAAAATTAAAATACAGAAATTTCCAGATTTATACTTATTATGAAAACATAATTTCATATTGAATCAACAATGAAAAGGCCTATTATATCAATAAAATTCTCTTTATATCTTTTGAAAAATTTAAAATTTAATTCCTATAAAGGAAAGCCTTGATTTAGTTCCTATAAAGATTCCCTTTATAACAAAATAAGGTCTTCAAAAATTTTCAATTTTAATCAACATATTAGGCCACTATAAGAACTTATTGTTTATTTATCCATCATTTATTATTTATTTCACCTTTTAATGCAATTTGTCCTCTATTATTCATTTGATTATTCACTATATCATATTGATTATTTAGTAGAATAATGTATATACTGTAATCTTTTTTCTCTACGAAGGAAATATAACTGTCCTGTATATTTTGGTGATATTTTAGCTATACCAAGTAATTTTTTGTTTCCTTTCATTAGGCATACTGGTTATGATGGCATTCATTTATTTAGTCATTACATTGTTTATTTAAAAGTATTAATTATATAATAATTACAACTGTAAAAGGTTTTTTAAAAAATCAACCATAACTCTAATTTTCTATTATTTAAAGTAAATAAAGGGACACAATGAAAATCCCTTTCTCCAGTCCCCAGTTGAAACTCTTAGAATTAAGTAGCATTGCATATTGTAGACAAATATTATTTACTTAAAAATATCCATATATAGAGAGGGTTGTATAAAATTGTTGTTGTTGATTCTGACTTTGATTTTTTATAAGGAAGAAATCATACTACATATTTTAAATAATAAAAAATGTATTATGATATTTACAGACTATTCACAGTTATATGGCAGAAGTATGATTTTGGGATAAAAGAAATTTGAGTTTTCAGGCTTTCCACATCAGAAGACATTGTACTTTTCCATATTAAAGTTCTCTTTAGAGAGTATCTTCTTTGCTGGCTTTATTACATCAATTTCAATAACTTACTAGTGTTTCCTGTTTACTCTAATTGACTCAAAGGGCTAACAAGAAGCATCAGCAGCTGCATTTTGATCCCTTGCTTTTGTCTTTCCCATGAGTGTACCCAGGAAGATTGACTTATTTTACGCCCAACTCAGAATCATAATATATGAAAATCTACTATAATTTGTGAAAACCTTCTGTATCATTTATTTATTCATTCTTTTATTCACTTATTTATTTAGAGCAGTAAAAAGCTGGACAAGGTACTATATATAGGGATATAAAATCTGACAAAACAAAATTTGTGGCATCATAATATGATAGGTAATTAACATACACAAAATAATTTTAATACATTACAGGTAGTCCAGAAATAGAGATCTGAACAGGGCCTCCGGAGTTCCTATGGACAGCTCAGACTGGGGACCACATCAGAGAAGACCTCTTAGATATATTTGATAAAAATAAGTCTTGATATCAAAGGAGAATATTCAGACTTTTAAAAGTATGTAATCTATATCATTAGACAAGCCACTTATTAGCTAATTTACATATCTGCTCTGGGAATTCTCATAAACTCAGAATCCATTTCTATCTATAATTCCCTAGGAACAAAGATCAATCTATACTTTGAATTAGGTATTGAAAAAGATTCATTATGTTTGTCTATTTTTTAAAATAAATCATTCTTATCATTGCATGATATAAACATTCCTTATAACTTGAGAAATCATGGTTTTATACATTCATTGCAGATTTATGCAATCAATGCCAAGTCGATAAGATTTTAAACCAAAGTTTACTTGCTTTATCTCAATAATTTTCCATTTGCTTTTACCATTTAAAGTTGGTCAGCTCCAACGATTATCAGAGCTTAAATTTGAAGCATATATTTAGGCCATTTGTGGTCAGATGGGCCTTTGTTCCACGTATTAAAAAAAAAAAAAAAAAAAAAAAAAAAAAAATTTTTATTTA